TAAGGACTGTTGCCAATTGGAGGAGGGATTGTTACAGTGGATTTTCCCTGAGGAGTTCTTATTGTTATCAGAGTCTCCGTCTGTGCGTACAGCCTCTAATAAAGATATCTGCTTCATAGAACACAGCAGCCTCTATCCACAATCCTCAGCATCTACTGTAAGGGGGAAGAGACAGACCAAAATTAATCCTGGGCAAGCATCTACTGTTTGTTACAAAGGCCTCAGCTATGGAATTCACAGGGAGGCATGTAGATAGATGTCAATGGGAGCCAACTCCTCTCAGGGACCTTCTGTAGCAATTTACAACACCCTTCCAACCAACAACTACCAATTGGGAAAGTATTGTTTTCAAGTCAGTTCCCCATGCATATCTGCGTATTGTTAGAATCTGATTCCCACCCTTGGTAGATCAATGGCTGTGAGCCGAGTCTCTAATCAAACCTCTTCTTTCATAACAACTAGCTGCCTCAGTCAGCAGGCCTCAGTGTCAACCAGAAGTGGAGGAGCAGCCTAATCAAAATTGACCCCCAGGGAGGTTTGTCCAGTTGATTTCAGAGGCTGAGTTACAGCATACACAGGGAAGCAAGTATTGTACTGACTAAGGGTGCAGACTCCAAACCAAGGCCCTTCTGTAGCAATTCACGGCAGGCTTGCAGGTCATAGTTACTGGGTGGGGTACAGGTTGTCATTCTCCAAATGGACCCCCAGAGATGTCTCCCTTGTTCCCAACTGGGCTCCGCTTGTAGTATGTTCCCTGTGGGTACAGCCTCCACTAAAGATCCCTGCTTCCTAGCACACATCAGCTTCCATCAGCAGGTCTCAGCATCCACCAAAAGAGTAAGCAGACAGACTTAGATTGAGTTCTCGAGAGGTCTGTTCTGTTGATTTCAAAAGCCTGGGCTACAGGGTGCACAGGGAGCCCAGTATAAAAGTGTGGCCTGTGAGTGAGAAGATACTCCATTGAATGGCCTTCTGTAGCAATTCACAAAAGGCTTATTATCAACCGTATCTGGCTGAGAAGTTGAGGGCAAATGGATTCCAGGGAAGGAAGTAGGCCTTGTTGATTTTAGAAAGGTTTGGTGTACAGTCTCTTTGTGCAGGCAGGGATTATGTTATTTAAGATGTAGCCAGCAGCCCATATGAAAAGTTCCTGGGTAGTTCCATGAGTTAAGGCCTGGGCTTCTGACTGCATGGTCACCAATTGCTGGGTTATATGGTAGCTCCATTTCCACTTGCTTGGTAGAATTCTCCTGTGAAGCTGTCTGTGGGGGGGGGAGTGGTTATTTGGTATTTCCTTGATAAACTTGTCTATTTCACCTACTGCTATGGGTCTCTTGAGGTTCTTGACATCCATCTGGGAGAGTCATGGGAGGTATTATTTTTCCAAGTATTTGTCCATGTCTTCCAAGTTGTTAAGACCCACTTTCAGTAAGCATGATTGTGTTATCTGGAAATCACAGTTTGTTCATAAGCCTTTCTCCCATCCTGATGCCATATTATACTTCATATAACCCAATTTCTCTGATTATTTGTTCAGCATACAGATTGAATAAGTACAGTGAAAGAATACAACCCTGACATAAACCTTTCCTGATTTTTAATGCTTGCATAGTTCTCCACCCATTACATCATGAGTTTCTCAAGAGTACATGTCGTATCTTGTTGATCTCTCTGTTATCAATTCTAAACATAATAATTCATAGCAGGTGCCATGTTTGTTGATGGAGTTAATATAACACAGAATTATTTAAATTTGAAATGCTTGTTTTAGGCAGTTGGTCCAGCTAATAGATAGTACTAATAGCCCCTCCTTTAAAAAATGTCTAAA